CCCAGCATTTGATGGTTCTTAGACCGATACTGTCCCTGCTCTAGGTACCTCGTTCGTTGGTTTGTGGCTGCCTGTGAGCTCCTGCCTGCTTATGACTGCCTGGTTAGCTCAGTACTCACCCCCACTACTCTTTTAGGGGCAGATTTTTTTTTTTAAGGTTAGACGCGGAAATGCTACTGGAAGAGGTAGCTCGTATGCTCGTAACATGGCTGTTGCGTTTAAAATTAGTTTTTATGTAATTATTTTCAGTTTACATATCCAATATAAGTTTTATTTGTTCAAGGCCGTCATGTTTGTTCATAACTTTATTATCAGTAAGCTTGAGAGTTACTGGATCCAAGCAGAAAGTTACCGGGACGCATCCTGTCAAAATAATAGAGTTCCCGGATTATGTTCCGGCAGGATCCAGCTCAAATTAAGCACTGTATGCATACATATGTATACAGTACATATGTATACAGTAGTCCCACGCTACATTCTGGTTCATTTTTCACGGACTCACTCTATCGTGGTTTTTCAAAGTAAGATTGGATATGACACACAATTGGCTGATTGATGGATGAGCCACAGGATTGGCATGGAATTTTTATTTAAAATAAGTTATTTTAAATTATATATTATTTAGCACTTGATGCACCTTTGTGCAGTCCACACTGCAGGAGAAGCTTCCTCCTGAAGCGTGTCAGGATCTCCGCTCTGCAACGGAGAAGTGGGCGTGGCTGAGAGCGCTGGCAGATGGCAGAGCTGAAATCGTGACATTCTGTGCTCTTTTAGAGCGTTTAGAGTTTAGAAACATTGTATAGAATATTGCAAGAGTGTGGGAAGGGTTTAAAATTCCTTTATATATATATAAATGCTAAAATAAACTACTACTTACTACTTGTACTACTATTCTTACTTTGCGGTTTTTCACTTGTTGCAGGGCTTCAAGGTATGGATTCCCCCACGATAAATGAGGGACTACTATATATATCATATATCATATCATATATATACTGTATATATGATATAATATATATTCATCTTTTACTATATGACTTCGAAAGCCTAAACAAGTTAGAGAAAAGACAAAGAGCTCCAGCGCATAATTGGTATCACACCACAAATCGACTGTCCAGCTCCTCCAGTATCTCCTTTTCATTGAGTGCCATGTGTTCTCCATGTGATTTCTTCACGTGGGTCTTTTCCAGCTTTTTGCAGGCGTACATCATTCCTGTGGCTCGCACTTGGCAAGCCCACACCTGCAGACAAAATAAAAAGTGTCACATGACAATGGCGTTGCAAGAAAAAAAACTTTCCTTAATAGCGCTGTTGCAAAAGAGCTTTTAAATAGGTCGAGATTACTGAGGAGTTTCCAGATGACATTTTCCTGACCTATTAAAATTTCTCTATGCAAAGAAACACAAAAAGCTATAAATGAGGCTTATATAGGATTATAATACATCAGTGATAGTCTGTCACACAATAATATTGTATACCTGGATTATTGAGCATGGACTTTGTTGTAGTTCAACTTACGTTTCTAAAACAACTTTTCTGCTGTTCAGTGTATTCTTGTCATAAGAGTTTAGTACTAGACTACAGTAGTATCACACCATTTGATTACAAATGTATGAATTTGTTGTCTTTACTTGTGAGACTGATAAATAAAGTTAGAGTACTTATTTGAATAGGAAGTGTCTGGAGAATTATTATTTTTTGTTTAAAAAATGTCAGAGTTTTATCAAGCACAATGTATTTTTTCATGGCTAGTGGTATTTTCAGAATGAAAAAGCATCTGTATTCACAAAACTCTATGAAATTCATTCAAACATACAGTACGTTAGAAAAGTGCTCATCCCTCCTGTTGTTCTTATATGTTTTTGTACAATCTGGAATTTATATGAATTTCAACCCCAGTGAAACATCTTTACCATGCAGCTATACACAGGTTGGACACAAAGGTTTGCAGGAGTATAAATCGAGGCTGAGCTATTAAAAATAGTCCAAATCCTGAACATCTCACAGAGATTCCAATCATTTGCAATCCATTATAATATAAATATGGTCTATTAGAAAAGTTCACTGAAAATCTTTGGCTATTAAAATAGCTCTCTAGATGTTTAGTTTATTAAACATAAATTAAGTTTAAAAAAATTCCATCCATTGTCTTTATCTGCTTCTTCCTTGTCGGGTCATGGGGTTGTAGTATCACTGGTGCCCATATCCAGCTATCACAACCATCACTGTGTGAGAGGTGGGGACACCCTGGACAGGGCTCCAGTCCATCACAGAGACACATAGAGACAAATGAGACAAACAAAAATTCACTCTCTCTCTCTCACCTAGGGACAATTTAGAGTTACAGTACCTTGCGAAAGTATTCAGCCCCCTTGAACTTTTCAACCTTTTGCCACATTTCAGGCTTCAAACATAAAGATATAAAATTTTAATTTTTTGTGAAAAATCGAAAACAAGTGGGACACAATCGTGAAGTGGAATGAAATTTATTGGATGTGTCAAACTTTTTTAACAAATAAAAAACTGAAAAGTGGGGTGTGCAATATTATGCGGCCCCTTTACTTTCAGTGCAGCACACTCACTCCAGAAGTTCAGTGAGGATCTATGAATGATCCAATGTTGTCCCAAATGACTGATGATGATAAATAGAATCCACCTTTGTGTAATCAAGTCTCCGTATAAATGCACCTGCTCTGTGATAGTCTCAGGGTTCTGTTCAAAGCACAGAGAACATCAAGAAGACCAAGGAACACACCACGCAGGTCCGAGATACTGTTGTGGAGAAGTTTAAAGCCGGATTTGGATACAAAAAGATTTCCCAAGCTTTAAACATCCCAAGGAGCACTGTGCAAGCAATCATATTGAAATGGAAGGAATATCAGACCATTGTAAATCTACCAAGACCCGGCTGTCCCTCTAAACTTTCATCTCGAACAAGGAGAAGCCTGATCAGAGATGCAGCCAAGAGGCCCATGATCACTCTGGATGAACTGCAGAGACCTACAGCTGAGGTGGGAGAGTCTGTCCATAGGACAACAGTCATACACTGCTCAAATCTGGCCTTTATGGAAGAGTGGCAAGAAGAAAGCCATTTCTCAAAGATATCCATAAAAAGTGTTGTTTAAAGTTTGCCACAAGACACCTGGGAGACACACCAAACATGTGGAAGAAGGTGCTCTGGTCAGATGAAACCAAAATCGAACTGTTTGGCCACAATGCAAAACGATATGTTTGGCGTAAAAGCAACACAGCTCATCACCCTGAACACACCATCCCCACCGTCAAACATGGTGGTGGCAGCATCATGGTTTGGGCCTGCTTTTCGTCAGCAGGGACAGGGAAGATGGTCAGAATTGATGGGAAGATGGATGGGGCCAAATACAGGACCATTCTGGAAGAAAACCTGTTTGAGTCTGCAAGAGAACCGAGACTGGGACGGAGACTTATCTTCCAACAAGACAATGATCCAAAACATAAAGCCAAATCTACAATGGAATGGTTCACAAATAAACATATCCAGGTGTTGGAATGGCCAAGTGAAAGTCCAGACCTGAATCCAATCGAGAATCTGTGGAAAGAGCTGAAGGCTGCTGTTCACAAAACGTTCTCCATCCAACCTCACTGAGCTCGAGCTGTTTTGCAAGGAAGAATGGGCAAGAATTTCAGTCTCTCGATGTGCAAAATTGATAGAGACATATCCCAAGCAACTTGCAGCTGTAATTGCAGAAAAAGGCGGTGCTACAAAGTATTAACGCAAGGGGGCCGAATAATATTGCATGCCCCACTTTTCATTTTTTTAGTTGCTAAAAAAGTTTGACACATCCAATAAATTTAATTCCACTTCACTATTGTGTCCCACTTGTTGATTCTTCACAAAAAATAAAAAATTTATAACTTTATATTTGAAGCCTGAAATGTGGCAAAAGGTTGAAAAGTTAAAGGTGGCCGAATAATTTCGCAAGGCACTGTACCAATCAGTCTAACATGCATGTTTTTGGTCTGTGGGAGGAAACCGGAGTACCTGGAGAAAACCCACGCAGCATGGAGAAAACATGCAAACTACACCCAGAAAGGTCCCCTGGCCAGGATTCAATCCAGCAACCCTCTTGCTGAGAGGTGACAGCTCTACCAACTGCGCCACCATGCCATGAAGTAAATCAATAACAAAATCAGAAAAACTACACATCTCTGGATACATGTAGGATATGCTGGTGAAAATTCTCAGTCATCCAGGACATGATTTATCCAAAAAGCATTCAATACAAAAACAAGTGGACTTTATTTGTAACAGAAGACGTTTCGCTCCTCATCCAAGGAGCTTTTCTCTACATTGGGGAAACTAAACAGCCTCTTATCCTGATGCATGCTCAATAATCCAGGTAGAAAAATCCAAAAAAGTTCAATCTGGTCCTCTGGACATTAAAAAAAAAAAAAAAAAAAAAAAAACAAAGCAAAAAAATCTAAAAACGTTTCGTCTCTCATCCAAGAGACTTCCTCAGTCTGAGGTGCTGTTTTCAGCTCAGTCTCTTAAATAGCACCTTCACAGAGTGGATCAACCAGTTTGCTGCTGACAACCAAAACCAGCTGATCACATGCTCAAGAAGGACCATCAGCCTAACAATGGGTCATTAGCACACTGATGGCTGTTTACTACTCACAGAGGGCTGAGTGATACTAGCAATCACAGCATTGTAAGAGGGGGACAGTTGAACCCGGAGGCCTCCACCCCTGTTTAATGATGGACGATTTCTTTTCACAAAGATGGCCTCCTTTACTCCTCTCTCAAACCATCGTTCCTCTCTGTCCAGGATGTGAACATCTTCATCCTTGAAAGAGTGACCACTGGCCTGGAGATGAGTGTAGACCGCAGAATCCTGGCCTGATGATGTTGATCTTCTGTGCTGGGCCATCCTTTTGGCCAGTGGCTGTTTAGTTTCCCCGATGTAAGACTGATCACAGCCCTCCTGACACTGAACAGCATACACAACATTACTCTGTTTGTGCCGGGGGACTGGATCTTTGGGATGAACCAGTTTTTGCCGTAATGTATTTTGGGGTTTAAAAGCCACTGGGACGTTATGTTTAGAAAATAAACGTCTCAGTTTCTCTGATACCCCCTCAACATACGGAATGACCACTGGTCTGGGTCTGGGTTCCTCCTTCTCACCTGATGGCTGACTGGAGTCCTGTTTGGGTTTCTTCTCTGCTTTCAGGAAGGCCCAGTTAGGATATCCACATTGCTCTAGAGCCTGTTTTGTGTAGGATTTCTCCTTCTGCCTGGCTCCCGAGCTAGTGGGGATGCTGTCTGCTCTGTGATACAGAGTCCTGATGACTCCTAACTTGTGCTCCAAAGGGTGATGGGAGTCAAACTGCAAATACTGGTCTGTGTGGGTGGGTTTGCGGTACACCTCGGTTTGCAAATGTCCTCTATCAGAGACTGAGACCTCACAGTCCAAGAAAGCCAACTTGCCATTTTTTACATCTTCTCGTGTGAACTTGATGTATTTATCCACAGAGTTGATGTGGTCAGTAAAATGTTGGACTTCCTGAGATTTAATTTTAACCCAGGTGTCGTCAACATACCTGAACCAATGACTTGGTGGTGTCCCTGAAAAGGACGTCAAGGCTCTCTTTTCTACCTCCTCCATGTACAGGTTGGCAACAATAGGAGAAACTGGAGACCCCATAGCACACCCATGTTTCTGCCTATATTATTGCTCCCCATATGTGAAGTAGGTTGACTGCAGGCACAGTTTCAAGAGTTGACACAGTTGTTCTGTGGAAAGCGT